GTTCCTCCTGTAGCCAGCTGTGCACCAGGTTCGCCACGCCACCGAAGCCATTGTGTGCATCAACGAGGGTGTGCACAGAATCCAGACGGTCGCATGACTCGAGCTGCCGGCGCACCAGATCGATGACAGCTTCGTCCTCATACCCCTTGATTGCCTTCCCGTCGAAGTACGTGACGAAAGGGGCAACTCCGTGGTGCAGACCCTGCAACTCTCGAATGCTAGAGGCGGGAAGCACAACCTTGAGGTAATCGGTCCATGTCTTCACAGTGTTCCTGAAGTCGTACTTTGCAGCAGTTCGAGCCGTCTCGACAACTGGAGCATCCTCGCAAGCCTCGCTGGCGTTTTCCTCAGCGTCGGCGTCTGCCACCATCTCGTCGCCCTCCTGGTCACCAACGCCAGCCCCGTGCTGCTCTTCCAGCAGAAGGTCCTGCTGGAACGGGTGGCTTTCCAGGGGATCCGCTCGGAACTCTTCCGCCCCGTACTCCCAGAGCAGGTTGCTCATCAGCTGGTTGGGATCCTGTTGCAGGAGGAGGGTGAAGAAGGACGGAGGAAGCACGAGCAGCAAGAGGGGGAACAACAACGAGAGGGCGAAGGAGGAGGAGCAGCAGGGTGACGATAACGAGCAAGGGGGGAGGAGAAAGGAGGAGGGACGACGGAGGAGGGACGACGGAGGAGGGACGACGGAGGAGGGACGACGGAGGAGGGACGAGGGAGGATGGAGGAAGGACGGGCACGAGGGGCGAGGAAAGAGCGCGAAGGTCCAGGGGAGAAGGAGGCGAGCGCTGGCCCGACTTTCAGCGCCTCAGTGGAACGCCGGCCGCTGCCGACATTGTGACCACGCGGGGCCACGAGCATCAGATTGATGACGCCAGTGGGGGGGGGGGAGGGGGACCGCCCGCCGCGTGAGCGCCAGAACAAAAAGGGACCCCTAAAGGAAGAAAACTCAGCAGAAGCACACAAACTTTCGGAGTCCCGCTCGGATTCAAAGAAGCGCGCGGGAACCCTGGCAAAAGTGGGTAGCAGCATGAAGAAGGAAGGCGTTGAAAGTAGATTGGGCTCCCCCCCCTGAAGGGAAGAGACGGGGGAAACCACTCGACTCGTAACACATGAGGGCGCCTGAGGTATGCTGGTACCTGGGAATCTTCGGAATCCCAGAATACCGACCCTCTACGAACGATGGGTATGCATGCGTTTCTTCCTCGGACCCCCGCAGCAGGTGCCGAGGCCGGAGGCGCAGAGCGCGCCAGGGGAGCGTCGCGGCGACAGCGGAGACGGCGCGCGGCCCGAACGCGCAAGGGGCGGCCAGGGCGGCCAGAGGGGCACCGCCCCCCACGAGGCCCCGCAGGCAGGGCCGAGAGCAGCCTCGCCGGCGCTCCTCGTTCGAGCCCTCGGAGAGCCAAGAGGGTGCCAAGACAGGCCAGGAGGCCCCCAGGAGGCCCCATGGCGGGCCAAGCGAGACGGCCCAGGAGCGTTCCGAGACGCCCCAAGCTGGCCTCCAGACGGACCAAGAGGCCTCCAAGACGCCCGCAGAGGACTCTCAAGAGGCCGCCCAAGAGGCCAAAATCAACAGCTTGCCTTAGCAGTGGGGGGGGGATTTTGACGTTCTCGCCTTTTCGGGCGTCCGACGCCTAAAGACGGCCCAAGAGGCCCCGAAGGTCGCCTCTAGACGGCCCCAGACGCCCCCAGAACGGCTCAATGTGACCCCAAGACGGCCCCAAGAGAGCCTCAAGAGAGCCCTTCGTTACAAGATGACCCTCGAGACCGACAGTAGGCTCTCAAGAGGCTCCCCCAAAGCCTCAGGAGGCCCCAAAGACGCCCAAATGTGGCCCCGAGAACAGGCCCCCTAGAGGCCACCAAGATGCCCCCAAGACAGCCTCCAAGACGAAAGCCGCCCCGACCAAATTGGAAGAAAGGAGGCCCCAGTAACAACCCAAAGGGGATCCACGACGGGAACCTCGACAAGGCCCCTAGAACATCACAAAATTGTCCCGTCTTCCTCGTCCTCCTCCTCCTTCTCCTCCTCCGCCTCCACCTCCTCATCCTCCTCCTCCTTTTCCTTCTCCTCCTCCTCCTTCCTACACTTACCGTGATCGTCGTCCACGTCATCCTCTCAATGGTTCCCACTCATGCCAAGGGTGTCAGCCCAATGGCGGAAGCCATTTGAATGATAGCATTAGGATCAGGAATGTTTGCTCAGCGTGTCGCGGCGGCGACCCCTGCGACACGCTACGCCTTGCAACCTGACAGCGTGTCTTTCTGCTTCGCGGGTAGAGGAGCTGGGAAAAACCCGAGACGTCGATGATCAGGATTTGGAGACGTGCACAGTGTGCCGCGCAGGAGCGCGGATGGGCGGGAACTAGCGGAATGACGTGCTGAAGAAATGCTCCTAACCGAAAAACAAGAACAACAACGTAAATCCGCGGCGAGCCCAAGGGGAAAGTGAGAGAGGGCAGGCCTTGTCAGAAGGCGGCGAAGCTCCGCCGCCTTTTGAGAAGGCCTGCCCTCGCTCATTTCATTATCGCGCTCGTCGCCGACTGAACGAGGCGAGCGGGTCCTCCTGCACCTCGTCGACGCCCCCGCCCCACGCGCCCATGGCGCCCTTCAGGTCCACAGCTATCAGCCGCGGCTGCCAGGACGTGGAGCCATCTCGGCCGATATCCACCCTGCGGTACTGCCGCTCGAAGTCCACGGGCGGGTCTTCCGCCAGCTCGTCAACCTTCCACGGCCTCCCCCTCTTCCGCCCTCCTCCTCCCTTCCTCCCCAACGTCCCCACACCTACTACAAAAGACACACTACAACCACGAAGACTACGAGCAACGATTGGCATGATACCACTACTACCACTACTACGACTGCTACCATTACTACTACTACGACTACTACGGCTACGGCTACGGCTACGGCTACGGCTACGACTACGACTACGACTACGACTACGACTACGACTACGACTACGACTACGGCTACGACTACGACTACGACTACGACTACGACTACGACTACGACTACGACTACGACTACGACTACGACTACGACTACGACTAAGACTACGACTACGACTACGACTACGACTACGACTACTACTACGACTACGAACTAACACAACCGAAAAAAAACGGGGGGGACTAGCGACTACCACTACTACTACTACTAATACTTACTTACTAACTACACTTACTACTACTACTACTATACTACTACTACTACCACTATACCCTACTACTAACTACTACTTACTATTATACTACTACTACTACTACTAACTACACTACTTACTACTGACTACTACTACTGACTACTACTACTGACTACTTCTACTACTTCTACTACTTCTACTACTTCTACTACTAACTACTACTACTACTCTACTACTACACTACACTACTACTACTACCTACTACACTACTACTACTACTACGACTACTACTACTATTACTACTAATCCGCCGACCCCAGAGGCGTGTGCGATATCCCTTCTTAGCTGGACACGATGTCTTCTTACACGTCATCAAATCTCTCTTCCAACGCCCTCCAACCCCCCACCTGACAACAGTCCTGCCTCCGTCATCCCCAACCCCTGGAAGACCTCTGTTTTTTTGGGACCCCCCAAACGACGAATTCAGGCCCGAAGCCTAACGACGAAGGGCGGGACAAAGATGAAACCTCTGGCACCCCTCCTAGCCCCAGCATCCCCACCCAGGGAGAGCTCTGCTCTTGGGACCCCCCACACGACAATTTCTCGCCCGAAACCTACCAACGCCCCCCTCCTGGCCCCCCTCCTGGCCCCGGCATCCCCGCCCCGGGAGAGCTCTGTCCTTGGGACCTCCCGCGCGACAATTTCTCGCTCGAAACATACCAATGCCCCCCTCCTGGCCCCCATCCTGGCCCCGGCATCCGCACCCCGGGAGAGCTCTGTTCTTAGTATTTCCCACACGACAATTTCCCGCCCGAAACCTACCAACGCCCCCCTCCTCGCCCCGGCATCCCCACCCCGGGAAAGTGTGGTTCTTGGGACCCTACACACGACAATTTCTCGCCCGAAACCTACCAACGCCCCCCTCCTGGCACCCCTCCTGGCCCCGGCATGCCCACCCCGGGAGAGCTCCGTTCTTGGGACCCCCCACACGACAATTTCTCACCCGAAACCTACCAACGCCTCCCTCCTGGCCCCCCTCCTGTCCCCGGCATCCCCACCCCGGGAGAGCTCTGACCTTGGCACCCCCCACACGACAATTTCTCGCTCGAAACCTACCAACGCCTCCCTCCTGGCCCCCATCCTGGCCCCGGCATCCGCACCCCGGGAGAGCTCTGTTCTTGGGACCCCCCACACGACAATTTCTCGCCCGAAACCTACCAACGCCCCTTGCCTGCCCCCTTTCCTGGCCCCGGCATCCCCACCCCGCGAGAGCTCTGTTCTTGGGACCCCCCACACGACAATTTCTCGCCCGAAACCTGCCAACGCCTCCCTCCTGGCCCCCCTCCTGGCCCCGGCATCCCCAGCGAGCTCTGTTCTTCGGACCCCCCACACGACAATTTCTCGCCCGAAACCTACCAACGCCCCCCTCCTGGCCCCCCTCCTGGCCCGGGCATCCCCACACCGGGACAGGTCTGTTCTTGGGACCCCCCACACGACAATTTCTCGCCGACCGCCCGCCCCCCTTTTCCTCCCCCTCCTCCTCCTCCTTTTTCCATTTCCTCCTCCTCCTCCTCCTCCTCCTCCTCCTCTTCTTCCTCCTCCACCCCCTCCTCCTCCTCCTCCTGAACCTCCTCCTCCTCCTCCTCCTTCTCCTTTTCTCCTCGCGCTTCTGAGCAGCAAAGCAAGGAGGAGACTAAAGGAGGAGGACGATAAGAAGAAGGAGAACAAGGAATAATGACGATACACGCAGCCACGGCCAGCAATAGCGGTGCGAGACGTCTCCGCCAACCCATGGTGAGTCCCCAGACGTGTGAGATTCGCCCCTCGAACGGCCCCGACGCCGCCCGAGAACATCAGGAATAAC